TGAGGACTTAGAAGATGATGGTGAGTGCTGCATGATTGAGAAGTCGTCAAATGGAGATATGCATGTATTTGCTTTCGACTTCGATTCGGATGCGATTCTTCTTGGCTATCCCAGATATGCAAAGCATACTGAGCGATTACACCGGCACCACTGGAAGGTGAAGATTTCGTCTTAACCGGCGGGAAGAGCCGGTTGGAATCCAGTAAAACCCACACACTACTCCCTCTCGCGGCGATATTGTATTTGTGGGATGATGTAACCACACTCGGATAACGATAGGTTTTCCACGCTTTTCCCTGTGGTGTGTATGCACCGAAGAGGTTATACGCCGTGAGGATTAACCTCGAGTGGTATCTGCAAATAAAATCTGAGTGTGAGTGTTCTAAACGTCAAATTGAGTCATCCTACTTAAAGTACATATCTTCCGATAAAAACCTGCATGGGCCTCAAGGCGCCAAATCAGGACAATTGAATAATTTATTTATTTATATTTAACCGTTCACACCCTGCTGGCGTGTGCCTTACTTACGATAGATACCGGGACTGCTTCATGCAAGTCATTACCAATTATTCGTCAGGTGAACGAGATTAATTTTTAATTTGGATTGGGGATGCCGATCGGGCCGCTATTTTCGCTAGAAGATCTGCCTCGACGTTTTCGGAGATTCCCGAGGGTTTGGCAACGTGAACGAATGAGGATTTTTTCGTGTCAACGTAGGCGAGCCCTCCATTTAAAATTCCAGCGTAGCATGTTATACTTGAATTTTCCATGAACGAATTCCTAGTAATTGACGACCAATTGTTTTAGACGCTCGTTGCTCAAATAATTTGGTTAAAGCACTTGGAAACTATTGTGCATTCTTTGGAAGTATTTGATTTAAAGCCCGGGAATTCCATCTTCCACCCAATCATAAGCATTAATACCTGGGAAAGAAACTAAAAAAATGAACTGCTTCGTATTTCTGTGACTTCTCTACATATTGTTATCGCAAAATTTGTGGTATCACAGATTTCGCGCCTCGAATGAAGGTGCAAGACCTCTTCAGACTCCAATTGGTCAAGATAAATCTAGAGGGTATATCTCAGTGTCATCCCTAACTGCTCTTATAGTGTCACTAAAATGAAATCAATCGGAGCCATCACACTACGAAGTTATGATGCTATGTATACCCGATAGGAGGAAACCAATTCGTAATCTATAAAACTCGAGCCTTGGTCTATGGGGTAACGTTGCTCCAATGGAGTTTCACATCTTAAGGGAGGATAGGCAGCTGGAACGTAGGTCGAACGAGTGACAAATTGGCATGCTGGGACGTAGATTTTTCGAGTGCTGTCGACTCAAGGGTGTCTGTGGGCGCAGAGACAACGATTTCAGATAGTGCAACCGACACTCCAAAAACAGGCAACGATGGAAGGTGTTTTGGTCTACCTCCCGGTCGTCATCTCCTCGAAATAAAGTCTGGGTAGCCTGGACATCTACCTCACTCGAGAAAGGGAGGACTGTGAGGTCATGTCTCATGCGACGGCTTTATAGAAGATGACAAAGGCTTGTTAGGGTAGCCAAAGGTTTTTCCTGTTTTCACTTTGGTGGATATTAACGGTTGAAGGAAGGGTGAAAGTCCCAAGGTCCAAGGTCTCGAGTGGTATCAGCGAATGCACCCCCTACATGAGTTTTCCAAATATCAAACTGAGTTATCGTCGTATATATTCGTCGGAGAAGGACTAGCCTTCTCCTTGACATTCTCTATGAATGCAGGGCTTGTGTCCATCACGAATAAATATTAATTCATTCAATCAGAGCCTTGTTTCGCACATTCCTCCCAAGTATTGGAGTATTTTTTTTATTTTTTTAGCTTTGACTCTTTATAGACTATGTCTTTCTATTTAGACATAAATTAGAAATATTCACCAGATTATGTTCTGGGACTGCGGTATTAGATATTTTCTACATGGATATAATGCCGTGGCTGTATTATTTATGATTATTTGAGACCGAAGATTTAAATGAAGAGAATCCCAATCAACGGAGATATGAGCTAAATTAGACGTATACATTAGCTGTGGCAGGAGGTTTTAGTTACTATATTGTCAGCAGACTAAAGGTTGATTGCGATATTTGCACGCATGTTGACTCGTAGTTAATTCTTGGCGCACCCTTACATGGGAGTTGCTGCTGAAAGGCGTTTACTGTTTGTCCTATCCCTGTATGCCTTTTCGGATTTTTCAAACTGCTCAAGTCGCAGCTTTAAATTTTCAGGGTAACAGTCGCAATTGAGTCGGGAACAAAGTTTTCTTATGTCTAAATCTTATTGGCATGATGTGTAAAGCCTCTGTAGCTGTCCGTATAGCTCACCAATTCCGAATTGATACTTTGAAGATTTAGTCGAAGCCATCTGGAACCTAAGCTGGGCAAGTTATCCTTACCTGGTTAAATCTAAGAGCTGTCGGCACTTCTTGCGAGAGGACCTGAGCTACCACGTTCTAGGTAGGGCACTGAAGGCCTAACTTATCGTGGCTTGGGCGGACGATGGATCCTCTGCGGCGTTACCACGGTCCCTAAACACAATCTTGCCGTGATTTAGTTAGGCCATCTCGCACAAGATAGCCAACGGACATGTGGCTTTGTCGCACAGGCTAACAACAGAACCATCTTCCATTAATGTCTCATCTTCTACACATAGTGAGGGAGAATAAACTGCCTTATTCAGCCGAGATCTAGTAAATTTATTGCAATAACCCGCTCGAGTCTTACGTTTTACTAAATCTTGTTGAAATTGTTGAAAATTGACGAGGGTCGGCAGAGGAGTCAGTTGGTATGCGCGAGGTTTCGTCTAAAGATGCGAGAAGGGGGGTCTCAAAAATACGATGGTAAAAAAGGATGAGCAATCGTTTTTACGAGTCACAGACTTTACCACCCGTGAGTAAGGTTGCCCATACGCGAATGGAGGCATGTAGCTTAGAGCTGCCTGAGTTTTTGGACATCTGTTTATCAAAGGCTTTAAGACACAAGGAGATGTGTAAGAATTGTTTTGATTGATGCCGTGTCACAAATGATCCTGTTTGCGGCCCTCTAGTAGCAGAGCCCTGGTCCTCTACTGCGCTAGTTTGCTCGCGCCCCACGTGCCACACCCCTGTAATATTCTGACAAGTCGCGTACCCCCGGCTCATAGTTCGATGGCAGTAGCTTCCTCCGATTGCCGTGCACAAATATCTTGAGACTGTCCTGTTTGTTCCAATCTGTTCTACCGCATATTCTAGACTGGTCTTATCGCCGAGAGGACGTTTGCGCCAGTCACTCGTAAGCCAACCTTGTTCGGACGCTTTGCTGGTGTCTAGGGCAGAAATTCATGGACAGGGTTACGCTGGGCGCACGCATGACTGTCTGATATTTCGTGTTCAGTCGTGAGCTACGGTGGTGGCCCTGATCGAATAAGTCCGCGACAATATGACACACTACCGTACGCTCAGGAGGATGACCGCAGTACTGCCTTAATTACTCGCCGGAACCTTTAGACATTTGAGTGCCTAGGATTCTGGGGTTAGTATTGGTCGATGTAATTGAGTCTACGTTCTCTCGGAAGGGATAGCATGAAGTACGTAGAATAGAATAGAATAGAATAGAATTTATGTCCCTACTGAGTCTATGACTATGAAGGACAGCTAAAACTATCTAAATAGCTTTAAAGTTAACAGTAAATTTGTATGTGGTTGTGTTCAATTTTTGCCAATAGATGATGAGGGTCGTGCCCTATGTGAAGTACGTATGGTGGCGGAAGACGTGAGAAAAAGACTAGACTGACAATGTTTAAACTATTCCTAAATTAGAAACTCCTAAGTTGTGCTGGCTAAGCCCGAAGGGGCTACTTTAGACGGTACTTGCGGATGAAGTTCGTGCTTACATTGTTCTTCGTCTGTGGCAACCCTTTAGAATCCTATAGCAACAGGAAGCCCTAACTCAGAATGATGAAATAAATGTAGATCAGAAATCAAACACAAATCAGTTACATTCAATCGGGCTCGACATCATGTTCGAGACTTAAATGATTCCATCAGCTCTACTGCTCTTTTGTTCCGAAGCCATGTACCGTCTACTCTGTCACAAAAGGTGTGGCATATTTAAGACAACCATCCTGCAAGAGATACCCATGACTTGTGGGTCTGTTGCCGATGGTAAAGTCAAATCATGAACTATCTCTGCCTCCTTATGTCACCTTATTCATTCGACTATGGGCGATAAATATGTTGGCCTTGTCCATACACCTATGCATGAAGCGCCTGACATAGTGCCCTGATTAACAACGGCGACCACTAGACCATCCGGCCAAAGGATAAGACACCTTTTCCTTAACAACGAAAATACGAAGGTTGCCTTACTAGGGTTGTGTAATTGCAAGGCCGATAAAGGCTCTCAAACCCCTCATGCAGGTTCCCAAATAGATAGTGCGCCATTTTTTTTTAGGAAATCCTCCTATTATCCAAACGTAGGGAAAAGTCTTCGCTATAAATTCTAGGCTTTCCTTGTCCTTTTTTTTACATTAAATTGCCCACACTCAAATTCATTCGACTAGTTCACATCACACCCATCCCTTTCTAACTCAGGACACCCGAGACTTGCTGACTGCCTTTGGTCATCTCAAAGGCTCTCATATCATCACGGCTACTGCAGCCGTAAATCTAGTTTCTGATCAAGATTACTCTCTTCGTCCTAATCGACACATTATTAATTCGCTACCACCTCCTGTGTTTGGGCTTAAGTAGTAGTGTCCGAATTTCGTTCGCCTTACCTTTTGATATTCACTCTCGGCCGGTTATTCTTCAGCTGCCGCATAGGACAAGCTTTGTGGTTCTTCCTCTCACTGAGGAAGAGTCGAGCCGACCGCGTCAGATCAGTACAAGGTCCGACCGATACAGACCTCCTTAATAAATTTTGTGCATCTTCTCGATCAATCGTTGGTAACTAAATATCATCAACCTACCCCAAAAATCCTTCTTTTGGGGATATGTCACCTTCCGCAACTGCAACCATTGCAAAAACAAATATAGCCACAAGTTTAAGTTCCCATTTGGAGATTTTAGAACGTCCCAATACCGAAGCGAAAGATGGCGTGATTGCAGCGAAAGGATTAATTGGACAAGCTTTGAGCCAACGAGTCAATTCTATTGATTTTAACACCTGTGAAGCAGGTGATGAAGACACCTTCTTTGTGGCCGATCTTGGTGAGGTCTACCGTCAACACATAAGATGGAAGGTAAATCTTCCGAGGGTCCGACCATTCTATGGTAAGAAAATGTCTAAATTGCCAAAAGACGATGTTAATTCATAATAGCGGTCAAGTGTAACCCCGACCCTAAAGTCATACGCCTATTAGCGGACCTCGGAACTGGTTTTGACTGCGCTTCGAAAGCTGAGATTGAACAGGTGCTTAAAATAAATGTCGAACCGTCTCGCATTATTTACGCTCAGCCATGCAAAACTAATTCGTATGTTCGTTACGCGTGTAGTAAAGGTGTCAAACAGATGACTTTTGATAATACCGACGAGCTCTACAAAGTCCAAAAACTCTTTCCTGAAGCCGAACTCATACTACGCATTTCCACCGACGACTCGTCTAGCTTGTGTCGTTTGAGCCTAAAGTTTGGGGCTGAAATGGATATGACTGAAGAACTTTTAGATCTTGCTAGGAAATTGGGTCTCAGGGTCGTGGGTGTAAGCTTCCATGTCGGATCTGGTGCTTCTGATCCTCTTGTTTTCAGAAAAGCAGTTCAAGACGCTCACATAGTCTTCTGCCAGGCAGCGGCACGTGGTTTCCATCTTCATACGCTTGATATTGGAGGTGGGTTTACTTCAGAAACTTTTGAAGCCATGGCAGCAACGCTGAATAAAGCTCTCGATGAGCTTATCCCGCCACACATAAATATAATTGCAGAGCCAGGTCGTTATTATGTCGCTACCGCCTTTACCTTAGCCTCTCATGTCATAGCCCGTCGCACTATCAATGACCCCATCACCTTATCAAAGAGTTTTATGCTCTATCTCAATGATGGTCTTTACGGCAACTTTTCTAGTATCATGTTTGACCATCAGAATCCCGAAGCTATGGTCCTTCGGGCCGGCAACTGGACCTGTTATGATGATATTTGTGCCCAGAAGTCTCAGAGCGGAACAGAATACTCCATCTGGGGACCAACCTGTGACGGCATTGATCGTATCTGCGCAAGTATTCGGTTCGATCACATCCTGGACGTTGGTGATTGGCTCTACTTTGAGAATATGGGTGCCTACACAAAGTGTTCTGCTACACGATTCAATGGGTTTACACACACACACGATGTCATCTACGTCGTAAGCGAGCCAGGGGCTCGTGCTCTATTGGGAACGGATTGACATGACAACAATGACCGATACAATGCATGTTGATATCACGAGTTTTATTTCTAGCTACAAGTGAATTTTAGTTTGGGCGTTAAAAATTATGATGAAGATGCTAGCGTCATCTCGAGTTTAATTAGAAATATATGACTTATTCACAAAGACCAAGCAACAGACATAAACTTGGCGGTGTAGATGATCTTTCGTGATTTTTGGACAAATTTTCTTTTACTGCTCTTGCTCGGTGCCTCATGCACGTGTCGACTGGGTTCTAAAGGATCCTTTGTCAAGTTTTACATTTTCAAAGCTGGAATTTCAGGATGGCAGTATGCCACCTAGGGACTGGAACCAACGTGAGAGCTGATCGATGTCTTGGAGGGGGGGAAGAGGTGAGTTAACCACGCCTTCGACGTAACAAGAAGTACGTGGTTGCACAGAATTTAAGTGGAGAATATCTTTTTCTCGGTTTTTATTATAACTTAGTTCCAAGCTGCTGGCGGGTGTGCAAAGCTGCCGTTGGCCTGTTGTATGAAACGAATTGTCTTCAGTTTGTTGTTAAGTTTGACGTCTTTAACTCCAAGCTCATGTGACTCCACTTCGGAGAGAGGGCTCTCGTCGGACCTCTTGCTCTTTATCACCCTCTTTCCCATGTTACCAGGGTTACTTGTCCGGTGAAACTTATCTAAGCCTTCCTCATGCGCTGATATTGGTTCTTTTACGTACACCTCCAATCTTGGAATATGATCTAATTCTACATCTGGTTTTAAATTTTCCTTGGTATTTTCGGTGAGCCTGATTGGAAAGTTGAGTTCAGCATGGTACGGTCGTGGCGGGGTAGGTTTTAATGCTTTCCGCTTGATCTCCATCGTATTGTAGAGCTGAAGGGCTGCGTAAGAATCAGCTGCTGCATATACAATTTGTGGTGTATCTAGCTTAGAGCTCCAATCTGAGGAGCGAACATCTACATTTTTTGAAAGTGGCAAATGAAGATGCTCTTGCACCTGCTTGGCTAAGGATACGAGCTTTCTATTGATAAGATTCTGATTTTCAGTCTGAAAGAATTTGACGAGTCTGAATAGATGACTTAATTCGAAAATCCCTTGCGCGTCAACATTTAAATGGTTCTTGATCCGAGTGCAATCACTCTTGATAGCGACCCCAACTTTACTGATATTTGGATTTACTAGTAGCTTTCGTAGGGAAGGTGATACCAAAATATCATTCTTGGGATAAAGAGCGAGATGCAATAGAGCGATTCGCTCTTCGCTGGCAATCTGAATCAGAGATACATTCGCTCTTGGACCATGAAATTTCATGGCATCCACCTTCCATTCGATATCAAAACCAACAACTTTTTGGTCTAGAAAATAAGAATGCAGAACACGTTCTGCTGTTTCGGAGCTCTGACAATAGTGTACTACCGGTCGAGACGGAACTCCTGCGATAGGCGGACCACGATACAGTCGATATGACCAAAAGGAAGCTGGAGTTTCTGGTTCAGCATTCTTGGCCGCACGAAACAATTCCTCTGTAATCTTAAATGAGGAATTAGAGAGTGGAAGCTCGTTTTGCGTTGAATCCTCTAAATATTCCATTTCATCTAGAGTTGTTACTGACTTTGTAGAACTATGATAGTTTGCTAAATTTTTAATATTATTTATATTTCCTCTTACTTTCCTTCGACTCGAAAATTCGCGCCATGTAGAAACATTTCGTTCTCCTTTGTGTACCAGCTTTATGTGATGCGCATTACCATGATTCGAGGGCCGATTTCCCTGCCGGATTGGCTGTCTCTTTTGAAATACTGAGTTTGAGCTACTATTTTATTGTATCAGTTTACTGCGCAATTACACAGGGATACGAACATAAACTTTCTAACCCGAGGAGGTGTTCCAAAAACAGCTCCTGCAACTATGGGTGGCGAATGACTGCTGATACCTTTAAAAACAACTTTATTCCATGGCCAGTCTGAATTCTGCTGCATCCAAATTCCTCGACGGGTCAAGAGCATGACGTAGAAGATAGGGTGTCTTAATAGTATTCGCCACCCAGCTCGGCTATGGCGAATAATTCTATGCAGTAATGTTTAATTCGAGTTCCGTCCCTCGTAAATTAACGGGAGGCTGTAGCGATGAAAAATCGGGGTAGGAAAAAGGACTGAAGTCAAACATTGAAATAATTAGTTTAACCTATGCCGATTAATGAATAGTAGAACGGCAATGATAATAGTTAATGGTTCGATGAGGGTTGCACTGTTCCCTATAACCTAATCTGAATGCGCTGGAATTTCACGTGCTTCAATAACTGTCGGTTGTTTACATGTTGCGAGCAACATCATCAGTACGGAATAGTCTTCAGAAATTCACATTCTCCATTTTACTACTCATCAACCAATTTTAGCCCGATGGCATCTCAACTGCTACCCCTTGGTTTGTGAATCTATCCCATCCTATATCTCTAAATTTGACTCATTCAGAGCTGATTGATAAATGCGTTGGCTCAAAGATATGGGTAGTTATGAAAGGTGACAAAGGTTAGTTTGCAGGTCTCTCACATGTCCAGTTTCTGATATAACACAGAATTCACGGGCGTCTTGTTGGGCTTTGATGATTATGTGAGTAAGTTTTGTGGTCCCGTTACCAAGTATGATTAATTAATTGAAATCAGATATGGTTCTTGAAGACGTGACAGAGATGTATGCTGATCGTAGGAATTGTCTTGATGCGCCGCTGACGTCTTAAAGTGACTATTTGGGCAACCACAATAAGCTTTCTAAAATCCTTCTCAATGGTAACAACATATGCATGGTATAAAATTGATTCTATTCAGTGGGCGAAATTTTCTAATTCTCTAACGTAGTTAATACCTGGCGGTGAAGGCCCATCAGCTCAAAGCGCAGAATGAAAGCAATATTCAGTAACCTCAACGAAACGACTGAATTTAAGTAACACCGCAGGTAGCTTGTAGCTTTTATCATCCGAAAACTTTCAGCTACCACAAAACTACAACTTTATCAAGATATTCAGGCTGCGATCAGTTATACGATGTCCAGAGCGAATAGATGAAGTTTGAAACAAATGAAAAATATTGGCATTTTCATTATTCACGTGGGAGCCAATCGCAACTAAAGAGAAGCCAAATACCATATTTTGGTTACCTATTCTTTCAAGTTACAAAAATCAAGACTGATGTTCTAGATGCCCATGTAAAACAAGTAGGATTAAATACCGTTATTCCAATCATTAAAATTATTTCTATTCTGGCGCACATTTGAAAATTTAACTGCAGCACTAGACCGCTGGTAACGTAAATCCACACAGTACTCGAAGGAATGTTTATTGAAGAAACGATTTGAATAGATAAATCCCTCATACCAAAGTTTAACGGAAACTTATCCTGTAATTTAGGTCGCCCCATTAACACTTTAAAATCGGAGCTGTCAATTTATGAGCTAATAATATAATTGACGTATGCGGGTTATCTTAGCTCCGAACTGCTTGCCTCTCAGCGATGAGACCCAGGGAGGTGTCAAATAACTCTTGTCAGCTAAGTATACCCCCTTGAAACTGAAACTGATATATTCCGAAAAGACTGATACAGCGTGATAAGGAATCAGCCATCAACTATCCGTTACTTTCATTGATACTATTATCGCAGGATATCCCAGTTTTACACCAACTTCGTCAATTAAGCCAAGGTCGCCTTTTTACCAATGCAAGGTTGTCAGTGATGGAATACCTACCGGCACCCTACTAAACGTTCACCGAGATAGATGATCGAGTTGGTTGCAGATGAGAATATATGGAAAATGATGTGCTAAATTCTCCCCAGAACTGAGATAATTACTGCTATTAGAAACATTCGCACACACTTCGTCAATCATTGCAACGATGCAATGTCCTTTCAGATTGATGTCTAGTCCCACAATATATTAGTCTATTCCTTTCCATTCTATAGCTACCATCAATCTTCATGGCTCGCCAATCCTCATCATACAGAAGCAGGGATAGCCAAGCTCTAATTGTAACACGCCTGACTTCAAAGTATAGGCTATACTTTTTACGCTTTTGGGTCAGAAGCCAATTGCCCGAGACTTCTTGCACGTGTTTAGCAAAAAGGAACATCTAAATCGCTGCATTAACCGAACTTAGTGCCCCTAATGTGGTACAGTGGGTGTCTTTTATGTTTGAGCGAGAAGCTTCAATCATACATGATGGAACTACATCTCCAACATTCGAAATCCACTGTGGGCTTCCACAAGGGTCGCCCGCCTCTCCAATCCTATTCCTGCTGGCAATTGAAGGCCTCCTAAATCTCTCCCCAAAACGCTTTGGTTACGCAGATGATGTAGCACTTATAGCGTCTGCGCCATCCCTCAATCGATGCTCAGAACTACTCCAAAAGCAGCTAGACTCCACCCTCGCATGGGGGCTCGAGGACGGCATCACTTTTGAAGTGTCCAAAACTGAGCTGCAATACTTCCATCGAAAGCATGGATCCCCAGTAGAGCCCAGCGTATACGCTAATGAAGTAGAGGTCACTCCAAACGACCACATTCGCTGGCTTGGGGTCATCTTTGACCGAGGCCTTCGATTTAGAGAACATGTAAGACAAACATGCGGTAGATCCTTGGCCATCACGAGCCACATAAAAAGCCTCTCAAGAACCACTCGAGGAATAAGCCCTCTTATCTTGAGATAAGCACTTCAAGGAGCAGCTTTTACAACCGTGATTTACGGGGCTGAGACTTGGTATTCCAAAGGAACCCCAAAAGGACTAGTTCTTAGAATTCAACAAAGGATGAACGATGCGGCCCGAGCAGCTCTTCCTGTATTCCGAACGACAGCAGTTGCTGTACTTCTCTGGGAGACAGGTTGGGGCCCGGCACGAGCCTGGCTTGAACGTATTCACGATTGCCTAGCCGTCCGCATAGCCTCAGCAGATCCTAGGCACCCCCTTCGCAGAAGATGGAATTCCGCAAGGATGCTGTGGATATGACAAAGAATTTCTCCAGAACTCTCAGAAAATACTATTCCCCCACCCTGGAAAATTAATCGGAATACATCTTTGGAAAAGATTGGGGCGGTTGGTCGCAATGCTGGAGTCGATGCCTTCTCCGGTTGGTTCGTTCTGCAACCAATATTAGACCATTCTGTTTTCTCCCATGGTGCGTTAATAGAGGACCGAGCAGGAGCAGGATATTCGATAAGATGTGGCGCGGTACACGAGATAGCCCGTGGAACTACACCTCTAGTTACCTCAGCAGAAGTTTATGATGCTGAAACTGCTGGTGCTACTAAGGGGCTAGCGGCTGCTATCCGCAATTCCATGGCATTTTATGCAACCAACGTAACTGTCTGCCTAGATAACCAAGAAGCGGCTCTACGGTTGCTCCTGCTACCCCCCACCGCAACAAGTTCCCGTCAAACTACGAAATTCCGGAAACTCGCTGCCAGCTGGTCTGAAAGGAAACGCGCATCCTGCACTAGGGCTGGAACAGTTAGTGTCCGATGGTGCCCTGGACATTCTGGAATCCCCGGAAACGAAGCAGCAGACTCTCTAGCCAAGTCAGCATGTCTAATGCCTACATCGTCTCTCCCTCTGTCCATAGCAAGGGCAAAAAGGAAGGTGGCTCAGCTCTACAAGGCCTCCAGCGACGCCTTCTGGGAACGAGAGGCTCCGGCTAGATACAAAGAACTCAAAATTGGTCCTAGTTCAGGAATAACCCCAGAACTAAAAAACTTAAATCGGCGGACGTTTGGGGCGCTTATCGGAGCTCGCTAAGGACTCGGAGATTTCGCCCCATATCATCGACGTTTCGCACACGAAGATGCCTTAATGACTTGCTCCTGTGGCGAAGAAAAAAGCCCTGATCACTTCTTATGCAGTATAGGAAGAAACCGTGCCTGCCTTCGCGGTGGACCTCGTCATCGTTGCCCCGGCATCAAATGGGTACTTGGCACGCCTGAAGGTGCCCTCGCCTTCGGAAAATGAGTCGAGCTGACGAAATTCTTCGACGAAATCCAGAGAGCCCATTAGATATTTCCAAGTGAAATTTTACGATCGGGTGTGGGGTTAATGTTAGATGGAAATATGTATCGCTATTTTCTTGTTCTGCAGGTGTAATTTAAAACTACGTGTAAAAAAAAAAAAAAAGTGTAGTACCCGGCAGAGGGAAATTTGCTATATTTAAATTGGAAAGAAGAGTGGCGGACAGCTGTTTTTTTTTTTTTTTTTAATTGTCTTAGGGTCCTAAGCTATGCTCTATATCTCCTAGGAGTCAAGGACTGGTGTACACGGCCGAGATCATGCTTTCCGCATGCCCACCTCGGTTTCACCGCGTGAACCACTACACAACCAGTAGCTAGTTAAAAGAAAGAAAAGTAGAAACTCCCATAGTTAAAGTTCCAAGCCCAGTAATCTAGTTTGTGGTTAGAAAAACGACACTTCTCGTCCCGTTTTCCTACCTGCCATACATTGTACTATGAATAATTAACACCGTCTCCGCTGAGAGCTGGAGACGGATCCGTAGGTGGGCCCCCGAAGCAGCCGGTTTCCTGCGCAAATTTTATATGTTCTCGAGGCACTTAGGCCCAAGAAGCTTGTGGACAAAGTCGTGATGTGATATTGCACCTCGTAGTCGACGCGTCTGGCGTGCGTGCAGTCGACAGTGAATAAAATGGAGAGGTGATGTTTCCTCCCCACACGCACACTCCATTGAAGCTGCGAAGTTGTTGAAACGGCGGTGAAATGCCGCGAAGTTTCCGTGGCCCGTACGGGCTGAGATCAGTTTACGGAGTAGCCGCCGGGAAAGTACCAGCTCGTGTGGCTTGCGTCGTCGTATGAGAAGACCCAGATTTCGATACCTAGGTGGACATACTTCTTCCCACCAGTCGTCGAGAAGCGCTTGACGTTTCCGGTTCATGAGCCGACGAACGTACGCCATTGTGACGGGGCCAGGCTGGCTGTCTTTGCTTGGCAGTTGTCGGAGGCTGGAGCGTGCAGCTCTGTCTGCATCTTCGTTTCCCTGTATCCCGGAGTGGGCCGGTATCCACTTCACCGAGACTAGAGCCTTTTTTGATAGCGCCCTAAATTGGCGTACGTCATCTAGGCTTGTTGTGGCAATTCCCGTCAACAGTGCCTTCACTGCAGACTGAATATCTGTGAATACATTGATCGGCTGCCTGCCGTACCTTCCACTGTTCTCCCTCTCCAACAATACCAGCGCGACTTCCAGGGCCTTTGTTGCCCCTACAATTTCCGCATCAAGCACTTCACCACCATGCTTAATGCCGTATCCCTTTAATAGAGTCTTTCCATCCCTCTTCAAGACGAAACCCCGCGCTGAGCGACCATTCCCCTCCGACGATCCATCCGGGTAGGCACAAATATCCGATGCTAGTACATCTCCAAGGAACCGAGTAGCCTTTTCCTCCTCCTCTTTTCTTGGGCCAGAGCTCGAAAAATAGCACGGCGGCGGCAGAGGCTCGGCGTCTTCCGCATCCGGGAGTTGACGGTAGGCCCGCTGTACTCGTGACATCTGGATCCCCGGATTCTTGGGTATCCGAGCAGACTTCTTGTACTTCCGTGTTCCAACGTTTGGACACACGGCGGCACGAGTCCGGAGCGGATGTCGGTTGTCGAGTGAGTGCAGTCGAGCCGAAAACCGTAAGCGGTTCCCTTCCAGAATGATCTTTCCAGTTGGGATACCTTCTTCGCGATGGATAACAAGATTAGATGTCGTTCTCATTACCGGAAGGGCAGCACGCAGTCCTGTCAAGATTGCCTTGTCGATCATCTCGCAGAAGATGCTGGTTCGAGGTGTGATGATTCCCCTAATGGTCGGACGTTTGAGGCCGGGCCACCAAAAATCTGATCCAAAAGTTGCTATTGGGACAATACAA